CGACAGTCACCTTGATTTGGACCCCCATTTTCAAATCCCCTTAAGTTTTCTTTTTTTAAAACAAAATTCAGTATCAGTGACACTGTTTCTTTTGGCACTGAATTCCAGAAAAACAAGAGGGTTACGGAGTGTGCCTGCTTTCCAACACTCCCTGCAGGACTCTGAACCAATACACAACAACAAGTGTAAGAAAACCAGGAAGGAAAACTGATTTTTATAGAAACTGGAATGAAACTGACCAGTGTAGTTTCATTATTCAAGCTAAGCGGAAATGCAAAAAAATCAAAATAAAAAGTAAACAAACAGCACAAATGGTAAGACGTGAGTTCCGTTTCCTAAGTTCTTTCCTTTTTATTCCATTCAGGTGTCATCAGGAACCCCAAGAGGCCTGCCCCCCTTCCCACCCAGCTCACCCACCCCCAGAATGGCCTCTGGGCTCTGCCCAGCCCCCTCCCCCCTGCCCTTCTCCAGCACAGCTCCAAGGACTGCAGTCCCAGCCAGGGATGTCCCTCTCTCTTGTAGGATGTCAGAGGGGGTAAGGGAAGTGGTTACAGAGTTCTGACTGGAGCTGACCCAGAGGGGCAGAGGTGGGGAGGTGGTGGGTGCCAAGTTCACATTCTAAGCCCAGTTGCCCTAATGGGGAGGAGAAACAGGGCACTCCCACTTTCACAAGGGCTCAACCCCTCACAGATGTAGTAAGGCATGTCCCTCTGGCTCCTAGGGGTGCAGTCATGTTGGCAAATTCCCCTAGGAGCCTGCATCTCATCCTTCCCTTTCTATAAAACTCCGCCCTGGCGCTTAGGCTCTGGGGGCCTGTTTTGTCTTGGTGTCTGTCCTGGGGGCCAGAACCTTTCCTGCCCACAGTCGGGGCTGACTTTAGTGACAATGATGGGTCCTTTGGAGGGTCAGGGGTCCAAGGGGCTAGGGAAGAGGAGAGGCCTGGTGTGGTGGGAAGGAAAGGGGGATGCAGGGCTGGGTCATCTCTGTGAGGCATGTTGGGGCCCTTCTGAGTTTTCAGTAGGTCTCTTCCAAAGCACTCAGAGCATTTGCAGGGCTAGATTGTTCCCCAGGCCTATAATGTTAATGTGTCTGCCACTTAGAAGCAGAAACTGGAAGGGATAAGGGCTGAGGCCAGGCCCAGAACTCCACTGGAGTACCTGTTGTTGCTCTTGGGACTGTCTCTAGGGGTTCAGGAGGGGAAGAGGGTGGGAAGGGGATGGCAGCAGGTGAAGGGTAGGACCAGAGAGGAAACCAGCAAGGAGGCCAGCTGGGACCAGAGCCATAGTCTTGCCTGGTACTGCCACCAAGCTCCCTTGCCCTTGTGGGTGAGTGTGAGGAGATGCAGGAACTGGGACCATGAGTGAAGGGTTAAGTCCCAGCCTCCTCTCCAGGCTCACATTCCTAATAGGCCAGGCCGGATATGGAGGTGTAGATCTGGCCTGGATGGTCAGAGGCAGGAGAGCCTGAAGTTCTGACACTAACTTAGTCTTCCAAGAGGTCAAACTCCTCTCTGAATTACCAGTGATTTTTGGTGGCCATTGTCCAGATGCCATGGGAATGGGGCAGCTTTGGCACATCACCTGGAGCATCACTTGGGTTGCTTTGAGAAACCCAAGCTGTTCACTATGTTCCCTTCCCATTCCTCCTTAAGATCTGGCCAGAGTCTGTGCAGCTCTCACGAAGCACATGGCACCCACCTCACACATCTGTCTGGAAGACCCATGGGCCTGAGCAAACCCTTCCCATGGGCTTGCTCCCACCTGTCCTGAGTGCTGCAGTATGGGGTCTAGGGTTCTGAGCTCCTTGGAGTTCCTGCAGGGACCACCCTCACCTCCTCCACTGGGCTACTCCCTGTGCTGTGCACTTGCTGGAGTCCTGTCTTTCCACAGAGAGGGGATGGGGTTCAAATGGCACAGGCAACACTCAAGGCGTGATTGGCTACTGGGGTTCCAACAGGGCAGGGAGGGTAGCCAGATCTGAGGTCAGCACTAGGCTCTGAGTAGACCTGTCTCTCTCCTCTAGACGCAAGAGTGGGATATTCAGGTGCCAAGAGCTCTGGACCTTGCCAGGCTTGTTACTGCTGGACAAGATGCATTTGGGACATGTTCACCCCAGGACAAATTTGGAGAGTTGCTCAGATCTGGGAAAGGGGGAAGAGATAAAGAAAAAGGTGGAGAGAGAGGGTGCTCCTAGATCATGCAGTGTGATGTCTTACTAGCTGTCCGCCGAGACTGGTCCATGCAGGGAAGGAGGGAACGTCCAGTTTTGGCCTTAAACCCAGAAAAGAGAGAGAGAGAGAGAGAGAGAGAGAGAGAGAGAGAGAGAGAGAGAGAGTGCCAATGCCTTAAGACTGGCATCGCTACCTCCCTGCGGGGGTGTAGGTGAGAGGTGGATATCAGGAGATGGGGTAATGGGGCCTAGGAAACTGGGTCTGCAGGAGCTCTTGTGCTCCTTAGGGCTTCTGTTTCCTTAGAGTCTACAAAGGACTAGAAAGTGGGACAAACCTCTCTGTCTATGCCCTTTAGGGATTCCCTTCCCAGTAGCTTGAAACTCACTTTTTCTAGAGCCCTCCACTTCTGCCCCAGCATCTCCTCCCCTACTCTTGGTCCCAGGCCCACCCCCACTGGTCACTTACTTGCAGGAGAGTTGGTTGATGCCCTCGATGTAGTAGCACACGCCTCCATTTACACAATAGGACTTGGCTGTCTCGTTGCACTTCCGGGCATGCCCCGACCATGATGACAGAGTGGTGCTCACTGGAGGTATGAGAGACATGTGCCAGTGACCCACTGAGACCACCTCTGGGCCCCAGGACTCGCCACCTTCATGTTCCTTCACATCCCATCTCAAAACTGGAAGGTTACTAGCATCTGCAGGAATGCCTGGGCAGGGAAGGTATAGGAGGTGCCTCTTGGGGGGCAACAAGGTAAAGGGGAAGTCACAATGAGCTCTGACCAGCTGTCTACCGAGTAGATATCCATGCTCTGAGTAAACCTTCCAAAGCCAGGGAAGTTTTGACTGCTTTAGAAGAAATGGCTTATTCTTTTGGAGTAAGACTGACCTCTGTTTTTCTCCTGTCTTCCTGGTGGCTTCATTGTAGGTGGACTAGATGCTGTTGTACAGAGTGGGGAGTTGCTTAGGGAGGAGACACCTACATCCATCTGTCCTGCTCACCTTCTTATGGTGAACTGGGGGTGGGGGGTATGAAACCTTTGGGACATTGTTATTTTCTGAGATCTAGGGAGGTATGGGGAACACTAACTTCTACTCTCTTTCCCCTTTCTCCCAGGGCTGGGATAGAATGTTATGAAGGCTGCAATGCCCTTTTCCAAGAAGTGTCCATGGTCTTCTCCATGTCCCCACACAAGACAGCCCCCTCCTTGTCAGATATTGCCTCTGGAGGGAAGCTTTTGGACCTTAAGACAGCCCAGGCTATAAATCATGGACTTTAGGAGGGGATGAGTCTGGGAAAGGGAGTGGGGCAGGAGGCAGCTGGGATGTGAAAAATGGGTGGGAGAAAGACTGAGTTCTCAGACTGCTAACCCAGACTGCATATCTGATTGATCAGACTTGTCTGAAAAAATTAAAATCAGGAAAGTGCTTCTCTCTTATCAGGGGACAGTGTCTAGAAAGCTGGCTTCAAGTGAAAAGTCTTGCTGGGAATGTCATGTCAGTGTTCTTCTGTAAGGTAATGTGCTACACTGGGTTTCCCTGCTCCCTGTCTGTGCCCTGGGGCTCTGAGGGTCTCTCCCTTCTGCCCAGCAGTGGTCCTCTGACTGAGGTGGTCCACCCCACCTTGGCTGGCCTTATCTCCCCTGGGATGTCAGTCTCCATTGCTCCCCTCAGTAATGGGGAGGAGGTAAGAGGAGGAGGAAGGAGCAGGCAGGCGCTTGGCGCCCTCAGTGTTTAGACATGCAGGGAGACAGATGGAGCGTGGGGGACTGGAGTATACACACAGCACTGCCTCTGTATATGTCTGAGGAACTCACTGATAAAACTTAGCGGGCAAGGCCAGCTCCCACCCCATGCCTGCTGCTGAGTTGGCATCTTGGGCTCCGCCCCTGCTGAGGTCTCCTCCAGGGCTGCACCACAACCACAGCTGGGCCCCACATGCTGACCAGGGAGATGAAACTTTGTGCTAGTGTCTGCCCCCATCCTGGGTCAGTGAGACCCAGGAAACTAAGAAAGGGACAGAGAAGAGAAACAAGTTATAAAGTCCCAATACTAGGAAGATACTAGAGGTTGTCCTGACCTTTGGTGACATTGCAAAGGAGGAGTGAGGAAAGAAAATGGCGAAGTGCCTTTACAGAGTTGCAGCGTCTGTTGGGACAAAGCCTCAGGACTCCCGACCCCTAGTTGTATACTGTGTATTCTTGCCAGATACCCAATTCCTTGTGAAAGCACTAAGGCTTGATGTGAGCAGATGAATGCAAACACAATGTGGACCACAGCCTGGGGCCTCCTGGGGACTTTGGCTAAGCCAGAGGAATCTTGGCCTGGTCCTGCCAGGCCCAGCATGACTCTGGATTTCTGGTGGCAGAGGCTGCCTGCTGTTGTGTCCTCCTTGTTATTCTATCAGGCTGACTGGGCAGTGGACAGCAGTGAGGATGCTGGGGTGGCAGGAACCACAGAAGAGAGATGGAGGCTGCCTAGTTGTGGTGCACTGAGCCTGGGTTGCCAGTACCACATCATCATGAGACTGAGGCCAGGACTCCAGAAAGACAAAAAGGGAGGGTGATAGAGGAGCTATTCACAGAGGTGTCAGGGAATAGTGGCCACAAGCCATCCCAAATCACTATAGCCCACTTGGTAGTAAAGCCACATGGTAGGGAGGTTTGCACCCTGCAGATGGATGTCATACCCTGGCTTCCCAAGCTGACTTGGCACACATAGGTTCCAGAGCAACATGTCTATACTCTCCTGTAAGAATATCTATATCTCTTCATTGTTCTCTTATGTTTGGAGAAGCAAAATTGGCAGGGATTCTAAGTGGGAGGTGCCTGCCATCATGACCCCTCTGCTTGGATGGCTTGCAGCTGCCCCAAGCCCAACATGGCCAAACTGGTCTCCCAGGTATCTACCCCAACCTCTTCTCCAGTCTTGCTTATGTCATTGACCACCAAGGTCCTAGAAGAGCATCTTTTATTTCCACTTTATTCTCTACTATCTCCACCTATCGCCACTTCTGCCCCTTCAAGAGGCTCCATACATTCCCTCTGCCTCCTCCCCTAGTCCAGGCCACCATTCTTCTTTGGGTGACCCCAGCAGCTACTTACAGGTCTTTCTGCCTCAGGCTTGCCTTCACTCTGACCTTTTTGCTTGACAGCTGCCACAGTGGTTTTTAAAATATGTAAATTGGGTCAATCTCTTCCATGGTAAAGCTCTCTGTTGGTGTCCCTTTGCAGTCAGAGTGAAGCCCCCAACCCCTTGCCAGGTCTGATTTGGGCCTTACCTCCTTCTGTCTTCTCCTACCCTGTTCTTTCAATATGTTCTGACGACACTGGCTTCATCCTAGCCTCTCTGAGCCAGGTGCCCTGCCACCCAGAAGGTTCCAAGTATCAGTGTTCTGGTGCGGCCTCTCCCAGTTTCTCAAGCTGGCCACTCCTCCCATATTATTTCTCTTTACTGCATAAACTTCTGCTTGTGGTATTTGTTCTAAACTAATTAAGGGACTAGATATGCCATCACCAGCTCCTCTATCAGAACGCAAGCTCCTTAGGGCACAGGCCACATGTGTCATGTTTCACTGAACCCCAATGTCTAGCCAAATGTTTGACACATAATAGGTGCTTGACATGTGTTAACAGAATGAATGACATATCTGATTCTTTAGGAGAAAGTGCCCTCTGCTGCTTTCCTGGGGATAGTCTGGAGTCATTGACCGGCAGTGATACCTTTTCTGTAAAACTCTGTCTCCTATTACATGCAGATACTCCTGAGAGACTAGGGACATGAAGTTCAAACCACAATGAGATGCCACTTCACACCCACTAAGATGGATAGAATGGAAAGGGTGAAAAATAACAAGTGGTGGGAAGCGTGTGGAGAAAGCAGAACCCTTGGCCATTGCTGGGCAGGAATGCCAAGTGGCATACTTGCTTAGGAAACTAGTTTGGTAGTTCTTCAAAAAAACACCGATAGTTACCATGTGCTTCAGAAATTCCACTCCTGGGTGTATCCCCAAGATTGAAAACCTTTGTGCATACAGAAACTTGAATATGAATGTCCATGGCAGCATTATTCATCATAGCCAAAATGTGGAAAGCATCCAAATGATTCGACAGTTTAAACTGATGAATGGACAAATAAAATGCAGTATATTCGTACACTGGAATACTATTTCACCATAAAAGGAATGCATTCATACATGCCACAACATGGATGGACCTTAAAACATGTTAAGGCCACACACTGTGTGGTTATGTTTATATGAAATGCCTAGGTTATCCTAGACAATCCTAGACAAGACTTTCTGCCCCTAGACAATCTACAGGGGCAGAAAGTGAGAGTAGTGGTTGTTGGGTTAGAGGGAGAAGTGGAGAGTGACTGCTAATGCACAAGGAGTTTCTTTTAAAGGTGATGAAAATGTTCTACATTGAATGGGAATAATTAGATAAGTTGGTAAATATACCAAAGCCCACTGAATCATACTATGAAAGGGTAAATTTTGTGCTATGTAAATTATATCTAAAATTTTAATTTTAATCATGCCTAGAAGGGGAGAACCCAGGAAGCAGTTATCATGGGCTTGCTGTGAATTGATCTGGGCCCTTGCCAGGGAAGATGAAGCAGACCAAAACTGAGAGTGAACGTTGTGGCATCTCTCTGCTGTCCAAATTGCAACTGCTCCCCTCTTTTGTCCAGACCCATTACCTTAAGCTATCCTGATCCCCACCTTGCTAGAGCCAACAACCTCTCTTCCTTTGGTTCCTCTGTCTATTCTTTCTCCCTCTGTTGGGAAAGGTTCACACTTTCAGGTTGGATTTTATTTTCCTGTCATTTGAGGGACTTTGTTGGAAACCAAGGCTGCGCCCCCCTGAAACTCAGAACAGGGTCATGCTGAACACAGCTTGTGGATGGTGTGAGGGTATATGCTTATGTATGCATGCATGGATGTGTTCAACCATCTACCCTCTTAAAACCCCAGGCAGGGGACAGGCCCAGAAGCCTCTTCTAATCATCTGTGTCCTGTGGCACCTCAGGTCAAACCTGCCTGCCCCATGCTTGGTATTCTGGGACAGTCCTGAGTTCCCTTGCACCTGGGGCAATCTGATTTCTCTAAGACAGAAGTGGGTTGGACCAAGCAGTCTGTTTTGTTACAAGCTCCATCCATGTCTGTAGACTTTTCCTCCTCCTCCCTGACTGCCCAGGTAGGCAGGAAGTTCCTGTGAGCCAGAGCTGTCACTGTAAGGCGGGCGTGTTCTGATTTGGGGAAGGAGCACCAGAAATCCACCCTAACAGAGAAGTAGGTAGCGGACCAACAGTAAGATAATGCCCTTTGATGCCCTACCCCTGTTGCCCAGCTCCCCTGGGGCCTAGGCAGGCCACACCAACCCACCTTGGGATGAGTCAGTGGGGGCAAGCCCAGCTGCCCTGCGCTGCCCGCCCTCCACCCCCTCCTCAGGGTGTGGTTGCTGCAGGTCTCCTGGGTTCCGCTGGTAAACAAGGAATCCAGGTACCTCTGCCTGGGAAAATGTCCTCAGAAGGGACCTCCTGGTCCCCAGCAGGGTTCTCTGCAGTGGTCCTGTCCACTTCTCTGCATCAAAAATAAACTTGTCTGCCATTGACTATACTGGGCAGCAGAAAAGGTGTATGGTGTGTGTGTGTGTGTGTGTGTGTGTGTGTGTGTGTGTGTATGGCGAGTCTCCACAGCAAACTCAGAGTGCCAGAATTTTAGAAGGAGCTTAAGACCATGTAGCTCAGTCCAGGAGGGGAAAGCAGAAGATTAGGGAGGTGGAGAAACAAGTTCAAGGTTGCATGACACAGAACTGGAACTAGAGCAAATATCTGAGCTCTTTTTACTGCATTGTCCTATTGCTCTCCTGCCAAGCTGCAGGGACAAGAGACACTGAAGCCTGTGGGCAGCTGGGATTTCAGCTCTGTGCTCAGGGCTTAGCCCAGAGGTGCACTGCATGCTTTCCAAACCGATCAGAGCCTGGCCTGCTGCAGGCTGAGGGGGCCACTCAATGGGCTGGGGCTATTGGCTACTGGAGAGGTCTTAGGCCCCTGGCCTTGTGCAATGGAGAGGGCACAGCTTGGTGTTCTGTGGGAGCCTTTCTCACTCCAGTCTGCATGTAGTGAGACTATGTACTGGTCCCATAGGCCATCACTCAGGATGCTCTGTCTTTCAGTAGCTTCCTCCATGCACAGACAAGCTGGCAAAGATGGTGCCCCACCCACCTGAGCACAATGACAGGACCAGGTGTGCATGCGATCTCAGCAGGATCAATAAGAATCCATCCTGAAGCCTGCCCACGTGGACACAGAGGCAGAGGGGGCTGGTTGGGGTGGAACTGTCAGAGGCAGAGGCCTCTTTTCTGTTCTACTTCCCCAAACCGGAGATGCTGTTTCATAGTAGGAAAGCAGGAGGCCAACCTACAGTGGGAGAAAGTGCCCTGGCCCATCCTCTCAGTTCTGGACTCAGTTCTGTCTGGAGCATCATGACCTTTGGACTTCCTAGTTTTATAAGCCAATAAATGAATTCTTCAAGGTTGTTTTAAGTTTTTCTTTTTTAATTTTTTTATTTTTACAGTGTTTCCCTGTAGCCCTAGATGGCCTGAAACTCTCTATGTAGAATAGGCTGGCCTCAATCTCAAGAGATCCGCCTGCCTCTGCCTCGCTAGTGCTGGGATTAAAGGTATGAGCTACCACACCTGGCAAAATTGGTTTAAATTGTATACTTGTCAATTCGAACCAAGATAGTCTTCACTAATAAAACCGTAAATCCAAGGTGGATCAGATAATGTTTGCCCACTATGACAGAGATGGCAGGTGCTAGACCCAGGGACATCCACTTTCCCAGACTTGGGACAGCTTGAGACCCATGGGTATCCAGGTATCCCCCTTTTACCATGCTCAGCCCAGGACATAGAGGAGGCCGTACAGGCCTTGGAATAGAAGAGTGCTACCACTAAGATACATTCTCACCCCTAGGTTGTAAGTTCTTTAATATAACATTTAATAATACATGTACTTATTATGAGGCAGGCATTGTGCTAGGCCCTGAGGCCAGAGTGATAAACAGGCTAGACATGGCCTATGGAGTACCAAGGCCAAGACTGCTAATGATTTCACATGGTACAACTCTATTCCTAACTAGTTGTTTAACTTTGGGGAAAATATTCAACCTCTCTGAGCCTCTCATAACTTTAAAAAAATTTATTTATTTATTTTCATATTTTATTATTTTGTTTTATGTGTATGTGTGTATTTCCTGCATGTAGGTAAGTGCGCCCATGTCATGCAGTGCCCACGGAGGACAGAAGAGACTGTCGGATCCCCTGGAACTGGAGTTACGGACAGTTGTTAGCTGCCATGTGGGTGCTGGGATTCAAAACCGGGTCTTCTGCAAGAACAGTCAGTGTTCTTATCCACTGAGCCATCTCTCCAGCCCCAACCTCTCATAATTTTTAAAGTGCACCCTGAGCCCAAAGAATGGTTTGTGAGACAACACACACGGAGTCTGGCTCAGTAAAGAGCAGCTATGACCAGAACTCCCAGGGGCAGCATTGTCCCTGTGCTCTTCATTATCCCAAGGCTCCTCTTCTACTGGGTGGTCAAACCACAGAGCAAGTTCAGCAATAGTAGAGGAGTTGAGGATTTGAGGCTAGAATTCAAGAGATGCCACCAGACCATGGTGGGTCAAAAGGTAGCCTAGGACTAGGCTCTGAGCTGGAAGTAACACTGCAGTGAGCTGGAGATCAAGTAGGAAGACTGCCTGGGAGAATAAAGATGGAGCTAAAGAGGAGTGAGTACAGTTAGGATGTTCACTGGGGCCAGGTGATTGAGGAGCAAGTCCTTGTGCTGAGGTTCCATGGGTAGGGTGTGGCTGGATGAAGGCACTTTCAAAGGCCATTGTTCTGATGCAGGTGAGTGAGGATGAAGCCTGAGCTATGGCTGCCATTATGATATGGAAAGGATGAAAGGGAGAGGAATAAGAAAGAACCAGAAAGCAGACCACCTAGGATAAAACCTAGACTTAAACTTTTGAGATATAGTGTCACAGGGGCCTGAGAGTGGGGGACAGGGGTATTCCTCATCCACAGAGAGCAGACAGGATTTGAGCTGACTTGCCAGTGAGGTAATGGCAGGTTCCCCTTTAATCAACACTGGACCTGGGGAGCACTGCAGGCAGGTAGCAACGGATGAAAGGTCAGATTCTGTGTCAGGGACAGATCTGATAATAAACCATGCTATGCTATGGTTTACATGCTATGCTCAGTCTGTGGATGCTGTGAGACAGATCTGATAATAAACCATGCTATGCTATGGTTTACATGCTATGCTCAGTCTGTGGATGCTGTGAGACTTGGAGTGCAAGGCTAGGGTGACGGGGCACTGCCTGACAATGGGCAGCTCTGGCAGGTAAGAGAGGTAACTTTTTTGTCAAGACCAACAACCAGGGCCAGAGAGGACAGCCCTGCTGTCCCTCTATTCGATCGGACACTGCAGAGACCAGAGGTCAAGGGGTACCATGAGGCCCTGCCTGGTAGGTCTTCAAAGAGGGCAGAGGGCATGTGGGGCAGGTCTGCTATCCCTGAACACAGGCTGCTCACAGGCCCCAGGCACCCAAGCCTTCTACTCTGAGGTCTGGCTCAGGTGTCCAGCAATGCAGTCGCAACAGGCAGGCAGCTTACATCTGCCCCAGGCCTGTCTCTCCATGAGCCCTGCTCCTGGCAGCCCAGCCTCCCATAATTGCCTTCTAAAAATATCCTTCCCTCCACCCCTCACCTCTTGATTTCAAAATATTTAGTTTTCAGGATATTTAAAATGAGAGCTGGAGGCTCTTGCAGGCCCAGATAACAAAGCTAAACATTTATGCTTCGACTGCATTTCTCTGAATTGGCTGAGATCTTGGGCTTGATATGGCAGCAGCAGGAGGGAGGGGAGTTGAGAGCAAGACGGATCATGTACAGGTCTCCTGAGAGCTAGGGGGCAGCTGGTCCACTCTGCAACCTCCCCAGACCCATCCCTTCCTTGAGGGACACCTACCGCTGTTTACATGGAGCCGGCCCCTCACGGTGTCCTTCCCAAGGATGTTCTCAGCCTCACAGACGTACTCCCCAGCATCCTCCACCTTCACCTTGTTGAACTGTAGTCGTGAGTTCTTTCTGGTTAGGGAGGGGAAAAGAGGGAGAGAGGCATGAGCTAGGGCTGCAGGGGCTGGTCCTGGGCCACCCAGCCATCACTTCACAGAGCCACAGAGGCTGTGTGGGTTGGTTGGGAAAAAGGTTCCACAGATCCACCTTTTCCGGAGTGCGGGTGGTACACTGAACTCTGAAGCTGGATTGGGGGTGGGACTTGGACACTCAGGACAATACAGAGGGCATCTAGCCGAAGCTCACATGTCCTAAATCTGAATTCTCACGTTTCTTTTCCTAAAACTAAAAACTTTTTTTTTCTGGGGTAAGAAAGCCAGGCCCCTTAAGAAGTCTCATTCCCAGCTGCCTGTGCCCTCATAGAAGTAGCAACTTGTCATTCTAGATATGGAGGACATACTGTCTTGTGCTATGGTTTAAATGTGCCTCCTAAAGTTCACTGATCTGAATGCAGTGGTGCTGGGAGGTGAGGCCTAATGGGAAGTCTAGATCACGAACACCCCATTCTCAGGACCAGATTAGTGTCTCATCACTGGGTCGTCGCCCCTCCTTCCCCTTAACTGTCTCTTACTGAGTGGTGCCCTGTTGTAATGGCACAGCAAGAAGGCTCTCATAACCTTGATCTTCCCATTCTCTAGAACTGTGGGCTAAACATACCCCTATTGTTTATAAGTGAGGCAGCCTGTATACTCTGAGGAGCTGGATGGACTTAGACTCCCAGGGACCTGGGAGAACAGCTGTTCTGATAGCTTTGGTAGCAAATGGGCCAGGATCTCAGTGGTTCTCCTGGGCTGTCCACTCAACCTTAGCACTGAGGAGCTCCCTGTGATCTCTCCAAGGGGGTTTTGTTTTATCCCTTCAACAGATGTGTGCCAGAAGCCATTGTACCTCAGGGAACAAAGAGCCTGGTCTGGAGCCTCAGTGTCAGTCAAGGCATCATCCTCTTACAGATAGGGAAACTGAGTCCTAGAGGGCTCTTGGCTTGCTGGAAGATACTCAGCAAGGCAGAGCAGAGGTGGACCATGAGCTGAGGTCAGTGAGGATACCAGAAACTGGGGCTGTTCCTCTTTACTTAGTCCCTGCCTACTGAGTGGTCTGGGGCTAAGCCCTGCAGTTCTTCCCACATGCTGTGACTCCAGGGCACCTGACTTGGGCTCTGTTCTTTATGAAGTCTTTAAAAGTTTTTATTGAGCCATTCGTGGTGGCACATGTATTTTAATCCCAGCACTTGGGAGGCAGAGATGGGCAAATCTCCGTGAGATGGAGGCCAGCCTGGTCTCCATAGTGAGTTCCAGGTCAACTTTGTCTACAGGGAGACTCTGTCTCAAAAAGACCAAAAATATTTTTATTTATTTGTTTGTTTGTTTTTGAGTGTTTTCCTGCATGTGCACCTGTGTTGTGCAATACCCATGGAGGCCAGAAGAGGGCTTTGGACTCCCTGGAACTGGAGTTACAGGTGGTTGTGAATGCCATGTTGCTGCTGGGAACAGAACCCAGGTCCTCTGTAAGAGCAGACTTAACTGCTGAACTATCCCTCCAGCCAAATTTCTGAAGCCTTGATCGAACCTCACCTTCCTTCTCAGAACTTCCCTGTACCTACTCTGGGGGGCCTCACTCTGCAAGGCTCTATTCATAGCTTCTCAACCCTTCTACCACCTAGTGCTTTCTGGGGCCCAGAAAGAGCTCCAGATAAAAAGCTAGGGACCCCAGCAAGAACAAAGTGTCTGTGGATAAAGCCAGGGACCCCAGTAAGAATAAAGTGTTTTTATGTGTTATAACCTCCTCTTCCTTTAGTGATAAACTAAAAAATCAGATTCTTTGCACATGTGTAGTAGTTGGAGGGGTGCTTGGAGTATGGGTAAGGGTAGCAGGGTTGCCACTGCCCTGAGCCCCAGGATGAAAAAGAAAGTCATGACACTGCTGGGGTAAGGAAGACCCCAGTGGGGGCTGGGTGTGGGTGGAGAGCTGAACAGAAAGCACCTCCCTCTGGGCTTCATCTCTACCTTTGGAACTTGACCACTTAGCAAATATCTCACTCCCAGACCCCCACAAGATTGTTATAGACTGACAGACCCTATTGCCGTGGTGATGTCCTTGCTACTGTGGTGACAGCTGCTTGACTATGTCCTACTCATCATCTGGCTCAAGCTGGTCTTTCTCCTTGGCCTTGAGCCTGCCCACAACTCTCCTTTGTCAATTAAAGTTTGTTTCCTGCGTTAAGCAGAGCCTGGGAGCCCCAGCATCTCCTGGGAGCCAGCATCTCCTTCCCATTGCAGCCCAACTAGATGCTACAGAACTCCACAACCCTTGTATAAGGCTTCCCTGGATTTCTTGCACATTGGACAAGCAGGGCAGGGGATCAGCTGAAGGCCACAGAGTCCATGCATAAGGGACCCAGAGCCAGATCCTCATTGTCACTCACAGCATTCAGAGGATCTTCCCTCCTATGACATCAGACAGGACAAGGTGTAGAGAAACTCGGAACATTGAAGGACAACATTGGGACTTGGAGAAAAGACATCTACTTGAAAGTACACCAGCTTGGGGCCAATGAAGTGCAGGCTCTGCAAGGACTCCTCCTCTTGGAGGAAAGGGAAGAGGTTACAACAATCTCCAGGTGTGCTGGCTACAGGTATCTTGTTTCACTGGGGTACTGGGGAGTCTCAGGGAGGTGGGATTCAGAGATGCAGCTGAAGAGGGGCTTTGAGGCTCTCTCAGAGCCTGGAGTTGTTGGGACTTTTTACTCTCCTCACCCCTAGGTCTGGCTGGGATCCTTGGTAATTAGGGCTCTTTTCTACCTGCCTGGTAGGCAGGATGCACACTCCCAGTGCCCCATTGCTGTGTTGACCTAGGTCTGCCCCTGCAAAAGGTGCTGTCCCATCCTCCCCAGCTAGTTCTTTGCTGGCAGGGACGGGATCTAGGCAGCCACACATTTTCCTCAATGCCTGCCTCCCTTGCCTGCCTGAGGGGCCTGTCTCAGCCTGCCCCTCATAAATAAGGGAACATGTGGTTCTGCAGGGGAGGGCCTGTGCCCTGGGCTGTGTGTGTGCGTGTGTGTGTGTGTGTGATTTCTCCTGGTTCAGGAAGGCCTGGGTGACACTGCAGATGGGCAAAGAGATAGCCCCTGTTGGGAAGGGGGTCTCTGCTAGCCAACAGAGATGCCAAGACCAAATGCAGCCTGGGCAGGCAGAGCATGGGGAGCACAGGTAGAGAGGACAGAATGGGGTTTTCGTGAGGAGGCTCTCAGCTCTGTGCCTAGTTCCAGCTCCTGTACTCATGAGGTGTGCATAGTTGGGCAATGGGTAGTATAAGGAGGTGGCAGCTCTCTTGGAGTCACTTTGAGAGGACCTTGGCCACAGAGAATCAGAAGTTCCTCATCACAGCTCATGCCTCCATAACTAACAACTCATTGCTAGGAGCCCAGGGGTAGGACAGGTGGGACAGGGCACTTCAGAATGCAGCACATGAAACTGAGGCTTAACCAGGAAGTAAGCTGGGTCATCCACAAGGCCTTCTGCAAAGTCTCTTAAGACAACCTCACACCTAGGAATAGAAGGGCCAGTCCTGTGAAATTCTTGTCAGTTCCACACTGAATATGGATTCCACTCCCTAGTCTACAGGGGAGAGGGGATGAGGTGGAGGGGCTGGCCCTCTGAGGCACTCCTGTTAGGAGGAGTGACAGCTTTCTCAACAATGAAATGAAGCCATGTCTAAGGTACCACTGGAGGAGATGAGAGCCGCCAGGAGGTTTGGACAGATATCCCTGAGTCATGACATTTAAGCTGGATCTTTGGAGGACTTTGCCAGGGACAAGAGAGGCAATTTGCCCAGTGCAGGGGACAGCCTGGGCCCAAGTCCAAGGTTGTGAAAGAAAAGACCATGGGGTGGGCTTGCAGTAGGGACAGGGAACAGCAGGGTGGTGGTGTTTAGTCCAGCAATGACTGGGGGAACCCCAAGACCATCAAGTGAGGAATGGATAATCACATGTGTGGCAGTGTTGGAAAGATCATCCCTGAAGACATCAAACTAGAGGGCAGTGCAGATGGAGGATGAAAGGTGTGGAGCAGGGGACTGAAATCACTCCCTCAGTGACTCAGAAGTGGTGGAAGAAACAAGAAACTGAGGTCACAGCTTGGGAGGATGAGGAGACAACAGTGGGGATGGGGTGGGGGAACATTTCAGGAAAGGAGTGATGGGAGTAAGGTTTCTGGGAAGGAGAGAAAGGCTGAAGTTACCAGAGAAAGATGGGAGTTGGTGGTACCACAGCTCTGGCAGAGAGAGAGAGAAAGAGAGAGAGGGAGAGAGAGAGAGAGAGAGAGAGAGAGAGAGAGAGAGAGAGAGAGAGAATGAGAGAATGATTATGTTGAATGTGTGTAAGGGGAGCAGTGTGGTATCTTGTCTGGTAGGATGAGGATGGGCAGGCAGGCACCATGTTTGGGGGCAGTACAGAGTGTATGGGCCAGCACCTTCCTCAGACTTCAGTCTTAGGGAAGTAGGGGAGAGGCTGGAAGGAGATGGTGGGCCCCCTCCAGCCCCAGGTCCAAGAACCCTGTCCTATTTTTCTTCTAGGCTGGTACCAAGACCATAGCAGGTCAGTGAGAAAGGAGTGGGGGTGTGTCAGGGGAGTTGGGTGGTTAGATTAAATTTCTTGCCAATGCTTAGAGAAAAACCTACCACCAATGTCACTCCCTACAAACTACCACAATTTCGTTAGGAATCAGCCTTTTGTAGCCACAAAACTTTCATCTAAACCAAACCTTTTATATACGACTTTTTGCCTAGGCTACTTTCTGTATTTGCCTCAGGGAAGAGAGGAAGTAAAGCCAATCCTCTGACCTTCAACCCTTCTTTCTCAGGGTCCAAGCCCCAGAGGTAGGGCATACACATCAGGTTATAGTCAAACCAGGGTAGCCTGAGCTATGGCATTTGCTTATCACTTTTGGTTGGGGGTAGGTTGGTGGTCTCTAAAATGTCACCTTCATTTGCATTTTGTGGAGGGTTAGGAGAAAAATGACAGCCTGAAAGGAGGGCTTTCAAGTCACTCTGGGGTGGGGATGGGAAAAGGCTGAGGTCTCCTCAGTCAGAGTGGGATGCCTAACTGGACCCAAGAGGCAATAGAGCAAGGTCTGCTTAACTGTCAGAGAAGTAGGGCCTGCTCTTAGACTCCTGGTTTTCCTGGTGCCCCCCCCCACCCCAGGTAAGGCCATTGTTCCCAACCTGGACACTCAGGGAGTATATGGGCCAATGTCATGAAATGCTCATTTATGACTAAAGACAATTCTCATGCTAGGGGGGAAGTGTCAGAGGTAACCCTGCCCCCAGTACCAATTGAACCTATGTTCTCTTTCCCCTCACCAAACTCTTGGACAAGTGGCAGCTCATCACACCAGCAGACCAGCCCTTCATGTTAGGTGACTTCCCAAAGACTTTCTAAACGTGGGTCTTTCACTTTAGATTGCCCAATTTGGGGTCTTTCAGATATCTCGCTATGTCTTTGGGACAAGCAAGAACTTCCACTAGTGAAGTTGCACTTGACAGTCAAATGGCCTTCAACTTTCCAGAGACTCAAATTGCTTAATTCTTTTTTCTTGAGACAGGGTCTCTTATAGCCCAAACTGGCCTCAACTCACTATGTAGCCAAGGATGACCTTGAACTTCTGATCCTCCTGACTCCACCTCCCAAGTGCTAGGATCAAAGGCATGGGCCACCACACCTGGTTTTATGTGGTGTTGGGTTTGAACCCAAGGCTTTGTGCATGCTAAGCAAGTACTCTACCAACTAAGCTATATCCTCAACCCTGTGAATTGCTTAATTCTTGCCCACAGAGCGCAATACCAGGGCAAGCCTAACTGGAGGGGCTTAGCAGTAGGGAGTGTTGGGTGTGGCAAGGACAGGCTATTTGGTGAGGGCCAGAGCTGTTTCATTCTGGGTTTGGAGTTATGGCTCAGGCCCTTCTTTCTCAGAAGGGATAGCAGCGGATGGGCTTGAGGGCAGAGTGGTGCTGCTCACCTGCCATTGCCATACTTGATGCGGATATCACGACTGCGGTTGAGCTCCTTGCCGTCCTTGAACCAGCGGTAAGAGGGCTGAGGGTTCCCTGCTGCTGCCTCGCACTTCAGTGACTGCTTCTCACCCACCTGTCCCGTTTGGCTCTTCATCTTCTTCAGCTTGGGCCGGGTGGCTGTGGGGTACAAGGCAGGTAGGTGAGTGTGGGGGTAGTGGGGACAATGCCAGGCATGAGCAGTGAAAGCCCCCATTCTGAGGCTGGTACTGGGAAGACTGGAAGCTGCCCCTTCTGGCATCTTTCCTTAGTTCAACTCAAGTGCAGCATGAACAATGCTCAGCTACTTATGGACACTCCTCTGCCCTGGGATGGGACCAAGAGCTTCACATTCGCTTGTAAAACCTTCACAACCCATGACTTCATTGCAGTGTTTAAACCCATTTATAGATGGGGAAACTGAGGCTCAAAAGGGTGAAGTCATTTCCCTAAGGGTTGGTCATGGACCTGAGATTCAAATTCAGATCATGACCTCAGTGCTCATGATCTAACTCCTAACTCCCTACTACCCTCTGTCCCCAGTTCCCTTCCAGGCCTGTGCTGGGCCCAGCAGACACAGAAAGACAAGATGGCAGACTCAGCTGTCACTCCCGGCCAGCCTAGCATGGGACCTGCAACCTGGCATTGCTATCCCAGCATGGCTCATGAAGGCCTGGGGATGGTAGAACCCAGAGGTGTAGGAAACCAGGATGCCAGGCCCTAGGGTGAGGTGAGCCATTCTAGCCCGGGGAATGGGTTCAGGCATCTAAGAGCTAAAGAATGGGCTTGGAGGAAGGAAGGGAGGTGAGCCAGCACTGTGGCTGGAGGAAATGGCACGTAGTCCAGAGAGGCAGCTGAGGGAGGGAGGCTGTTCTGGTCGGCACAGGCCCAGACTTGGACACAAGGCTGCCGAGCTTCCCTCGTCCCTGTTTCTGAAGGCCCATGTTCCACCTCCTTGTGCCACTCCCCACCACTTTGAAAAAAAAAAAAAAAGAAAAAGACAATTAAGGGAAACATGTACTGGGAAGGTGAGGGTAGGCCACGGCTCCCTGCTGGGTGATAATAATTTGCACTGGGATGGCTCTTCCCAGGACAAGCGACCTTGCAGTACTCTCTCATTTGGTCCTTGAGCTCTTTGGCAAGTGTCACACCACAATGATGGTAGAGCTGACCCAGGGGTTTAGAACTTGGCTGAGGCCACACTGTCAGGCAGCTATGGAGCAGAGACCAAAGCCCAGGCATCTAGGTTTGCCATGTGTCCAGCAGGTAGCAGCTGGCATCTGCTTTTGCAGCCTTGTTTCTTGCTAAGGAATGCAGACCCTGGGTTCGAGTCTTCCCATTAGCAGAAGGCAGGGTCTACCAGGGCCAGGGAGTGTCTAGGGACTAGCTGGCCCTGTCTGTGTCATTGGTCCTTGTTTTGGTATCTCAGAGCGCTGACTGTGGACCAGAGGTGACTCTGGAAAAAGCCAGGAGAGAGATCTTGCTAGAGGTAGAATTTCCTTGAACATAACCCTGAGCTCTTGTTTGCAAGTAGGGAGGAGATGGGAGTGAGGTGCAGAGGACAGAAGGAAAGGTGCAAGAAAGCCTTATTTTAAAGTGTGTTAGGCTACGCTCAAGCTGTGATGTCTGTGGAAGTCATTTTGTTCAGTTTAGAAAATAACAAAATACAAATGAGTAAAAGGAAACATCATTCATTATTTTAGTGCTTCGGAAATGCACACACACACACACATACACACACTTAAAAAAAATGGAATCAGTGCAAGGAACATATTTCTTTTGTTTAAAGAAACAATGCAACCTCTTCACCTTAGCGCTGCATGTCAATAACAGCATTCCCAAACTGAATTCACCAGTAATGAAGACCAATTAATTTTTCAAGAAAACATTTCTGTGATGAAATTAGTTTGGGAAACATGGGTGAACATAGGCAAGGGAGAATCTTTATGGACTCCAGTCTGATTAAGTAAGGGCTTTGAAATTTTCTTGGAACCCATAGTAGCATTTCAGGGAAATAAAGTTCTATAACATAACTTGTATGGTGTATGTGTTTATATATGTATATATTTTAATATGTATTCACATGATTCAAACATTTTTTTTGATCTTTTTGAGATAGGGTCTCCCTGTAGCCCCAACTGGCCTGGAACTTGCTATGTAGACCAGGCTGACCTTGAACTCACAGAGATCTGCCTGCCTCTGCCTCCCAAGTGCGGGGATTAAAGGTATGTGCTACCATGCTTGGCTTATGATTCAAAATTTAAGAAGTAAAAAAGTATATGTTTTATAAAATAAGCTTCCTTCTAGCTTCTGAGGATAGCCAGGTGGTAACTAATGTGTCAGTTTCTTTAATATCCTTTCAGAGATCTTTTATGCATATATAAAAAAAACTAAAACTCCCTGGCAATCATATACATATTTTTCCACAGAATCACTTTTCATACTTGCATAATATTCCTGTGTGGGTGTATCATAATTTATGTAACTGACTGTTGTTGGGAGGCACTTAGCATGTTCCCCCCTGCCCCTCCATGATCGCATTACAAATCAACCCTTCACCCAAGCTGTCTCTGTGGCTTCATTTTTGCACACTTCCAGGTGACAAAGACCGCCTGAGTTCCAAGCTAGGTTTTGCTACTTATTACCTTTGTGTCCTCAGGTCGTGGACTTAATTCTTTTGTGCCTCAGTTTCCTCATCTGTAAAATAGAGGGGATAAATAACAGCTCCTACCTCGTGGGTTGGCTGTGAGACTCATATGAGATAATGTATGTTGAGCCTGGTATGGTGAGGGCACTTAATATAGGTTGGTGTTGTTATTATTATTATCCATAATTATTTCCTAAGGCAATCTTCCTAAAAGTGGAATCGCTGTGTCAAAGGCTGCCAACATGCTGTCTGGAAAGACTACACCAATCCACATTCTCCTCTGAATGACGGGGCCTATTTTTTTTCCACACCCTCACCATCCTGAGGTATTATCATGCCTTTAATCTCTGCCAATTAGCTAGGCAAAAGATATCGTCTCTTTGTTGTAATTTGCATTTATTTGATTACTGGTGAGGGTGAACATTTCTCATAAGTGTATCAGCCCATTGTATTTCTTCTTTTGGGATTGTCTGTTCATGTCTGGCAGTCTGTTTTTCTATTGAGTTCTTTCATCTTATTGACTTGTAGGTACTCTTCAAAAATATTAAAGTTACTAAGCTTTGCTACAATGGTTTCTTCAGTCATCTGCTTCTCACATTTAAAAATGTTGGGCCTTCTTTCCTTCCTTCCTTCCCTCTCTTCCTCTCTCCCTTCTTTCCTTCCTTTCTTCTTCCTGCTAGGAATCAAACTCGGGGTCTAATATATATGTTAAGCAGGCAATGGCCACTCACCCACACCCTCAGCCACAAAGTCATTTTCTGAATCCTTCCTTCCTTCCTTCCTTCCTTCCTTCCTTCCTTCCTTCTTCCCTCCCCCCCTCCTTCCCTTCCTTCCTTTTTTGCACCAACAGGTTTTTCTGTGCATCGATGAACTGTTGAACTTTCTGGAACTTCATTATTCTAAGTGGGATTGGAGTCGTGCTCCAGCATCCTTCCTTCCTTCCTACCCCACCCTCCTTCATCTGCTCCAGAGTCCCTGTCACGCCTCACAGTTCTGAACTCTGGAAGCTAATGGGAATCACCTGGAGGCTTTAAAACTTGGGTAGGGGCCTGGGCGCATCCTGGGCATTGTGAAACAGAACCAGGAGAGCCGTCCAGGTGTGTGGGTTTCCCAGGCTCCTCGGTGTCTTGCTTCTGTTTTTTTGGAAATGCAGCACACATGCAGGAGAGTGCTGGTATCATTAGTGCACATCCCAGTGACAGGCTACACATCTGCACAGCTGGCTTTGCTCTAAGCTTGGCTGTGATCTGACACTGGTCTAGTGGTAATCTCTAGTTTGCTTCACTTCGTGACCTGTGGGTGCAGAAAGCTCTTAGGTTCTAACGTGCCTGTTTCCCCTCCTGGAGAGTGTCCACCTTTCCTGCCATTCTGACTTGAGGGAACTCTTGCCCCGTCCTCCCAGCACTGTGGGCCACCTTGCTCCCAGACAGACCCCAGCTAGCAGGAGGGGTGGGAGGAGACAGTAGGAGGAGGAAGTAGGGCTCACTCTGCTATCTTGCTTCCTGACTTGAGCTGATGGCTATTGCTTCATTTGAGGGTAATGGGTGGGATTGTATCATACAGATGGTCAGCAGGCAGGATCATCTGAGGGCCCTAGGAACTGAGGGCTCCAAAGCCATTCCTTGCCTCTGTTGAAACACAGGATCACATTGCAGATCCCAAGGGTCTCACTCCATCCAATGGGAGCCCATGTGCCTTATTGGCCACTTCTTGATAGTTTATGCACTTCAGAACAACGCCTCAGACTCTGACCAGGCTCAGAGAGGCCATCCACAGCAGACCTCAGGTACCTGATGACAACTCCTGTGGGCTTTCTGATACCACTGAGCTAGCCCCAGACCCTAATGACTGTACCCTCTCTGATCTGAGTTTATTCACTTACTCCTCATTCATTCATTCATTCATTCATTCATTCATCCCTTTAATCTAATCCCAATGAATGATACAAGCTGCTGCATGCCAGGCACTGTTTGTGTGCTGGGTGGTGAGCTAGACAGTCCTGCACTTATGGAGTCTGATTTTGGTCAGCAAGTAATCAACAGAAAGATGAGGCAGTGATGGTGAGCTGGTGGGACTGAGCTTGTATAGTCACAGGCCTCAAGAGTTTAAGAAGCTGGAAGAGAGCGGGAGTGGGGTAGGTGAGAGGGACAGGGGCTTGGAGAAGCAGGCTGGCCCTGGGTATCAGGGCTATGTGAGCTAGCCTGAGAAGCCTGGATTTGCTTTTTTTTTAAACTTCCTATGTGCTTGCTAGACTATTTGAAATGACATATTGGTTGGACCATGCCTCTACTGGGCAGTACTGTCTAAAGGACAACAAAAAATAAGAATAGCCACATGCTTGAATCATGCCATGTTCTTTAAAAAGATTCTTTTCTAGTTCTTGGAAATTCCTCACAAGAATCACTGGAAAGGCAGGGCCTGGAAGATTTGGTAGACTTCATTTTTTATTTTCATCAGGAAAGTTTCTTGGTGGGGGGCAGTGACAGCAGCTCAT